AGATGAACTCTGCATTCCTGTCTGCCTCGGGCACCCACAGGGTACTTCCCAAAACCCGGGGAAGAGTGGGAGAGAGGGGCTGGCAGTGAGCCTGTGGGAGAGAAGTGTGGGTCGTGGATGGCAACATGGTGCCTGTGCCACTCTGGGTCAGACGTCCCACCTCCTGAGCCTGTCTCCACCACACATGGGTGACACAGCCCCTGAGGGCACGGTGAATCTGAGCTGTGGCCATGCATCCACTCTGTCCCCGTCTCCCGGCTTCAGGGCCCAGAGGAGAGGCCAGGCTGGGGCGTCACCTTGTGATTGTAAAAGTGCCCGTTGATGGAGAAGCGGTGTCGCCGGATCCTCTGTGCCTCGCCAGGCGCACGGCTCTTGGGCCTCCTCTGGATCGTACAGCTGGCGTCGCTCTTGGTTCGCATCAGCTGCGGGATCTCCTCATCCTCCTCCTGGGGCCCTGCGATGGGAAACAGGCGATCAGGTGGCGGGTGAAGGGACCGTGACAGAGCAGTGGGCCGGGCAGCCGTGCTGTCTGCAGGCATGGTCCCCAGCGCCTCGTGCTTACACCACGCTGCAGCAGACAGGAGTGCTGGACAGAGCTGGGAGGATTCCCAGGGTGCAGACAGGACAAGCGATGCCCAGGCAGGATGGCCTGTGTCCCACGTCACCTCTCTGTTTTGGGCGACCCTAGCCCTTTCCTCAGAACACCCACTCTGAGGTAGGCCCTTCTCTGAGTGCTGGGGGGAGGGCACACAGGACAGGTGTGTGGTTAAGGTCCTAGAGCGTGAGGATGCAGTCCTGGAGGCCTGGGGGCTGGAGGGCACTGTGCCCTCTGCTCATACTCCCTGTTTCTACAGGGTCACTGTGCAGGGGACTCTGGCCACTGACTAAGTGTCACCTCAACAAGGCTCGGCTTCCCTTCCTTTCCATAAAGAGGAGCGAATGAGAGTGGGTGGGAAGTGCCCAGTAGGGGGCAGCTCCTGAAGGCATGGCCCCTCTGCACTGTCTTCAGAGACTGTGAGCCCAGCCCCTCCTCCCTCTCCCAGGACATGGGGTCCTGGAAGCTTACAGGCTCTGCTTACCTGAGCTGTCTCTAGAACTCTCAGCCTTGGACAGGGGCTGAGCACCCAGCTCCTCGGCAGTGACCCCACCGTCCTTGGGCGGTGGCTCCTTCCTGAAAAGAGACAGTCGAGGTGCTCAGATGGCTGCTGGCAGAGCAAGGTAGCCCTGGTCAAAGAGAAGAGGCCTCTTACCCCTGGGGACAGGGGACAGGTGAGAAGCAGAGCAGGCTGAGTGAGGCTCAAATTTCATACAAAGAGTCAAGACCCCATGGCCTTGTGGTTAAGGGAGTCAGATCCCATGTGGCTGATTGTGGTTTGAATCCTAGCCCCGACAAGCTTGGAAAACACACAGGGTGTGTGTGGGTGTGCCCCAAATCCGACAGGATGGGCCAATGGAGACATGGCATAAACACATCTTATTGTGGTGTTTTTTCTTTCTCCCTCTCTCTGGTGACTGCCTGCACTGTCTGGCAATTAAAAATAAATAAAATATAAATACATAAATAAATAAAATGAAAAAAGAAAACCAAAGACTTCTCACAGTGTCTTCTAGAAGGAGAGTCTGGACAGTCTGGCCTGCAGACCCAGGTGGGGTGGCTGGGGTGGGCTGTGGTGCCT